TGTGCACTGCTTAAGTGTATGCAATATGATCTAGCATAGTATACATAACATTAAATTAACTCAAACACATATAATTCATGTGCGATGCTTATGTGTATGCAGTATGACATAGCATCGCATACAATACTTAAAGCATAAACATGCATATATAACATGTGTAACTTTTTCTTTAAAATCTATTCATACTGTAGGCGAGATTCCTACTTACCTGATTTACAGAGCTGGAACCCACTCTTCGCCAAACAGCCTATTCTCTTACTTGCTTACTTCTGAAAATGAACACCCATTGAGAGTGTAAAATTATCCATCGTTTGCTATTCTATTTTAGCAACTTATGAAGGAAATCTAGCCCTTTACTTAAGGTATGTATTCCTTTCCTTTACTGAAGGATAATTTACTATAAGGATCAATTTATTAAATCTTTAAAATCTTATTTTCCTTAATTGCCATTACAAATTTGTGCTAACTTGATGATTCATTAATTATCTTATCCTTATAATAAGTCTAATAATTTAGTTAACTAATTTTGGTAATTAATTAACCCTCTTATTCATATACTAAGTCTACATAAGTTAGTTAATTAATCTTAGTAATTAATTAACTTCCTTAACCATATTCTAAGTCTTAGATAATTTAATTAATTAGTTTTAATAATTAATTAAATTATCATCCATAATACACTTTTAATAAACTTTACTTTACCTCACTTGACGGGCTCATAATAGTGTTGAGGTCCATATTTACCGTCGTAAAATTGAGGATCTAGCGTATCGTTTCTTTACGATTTTCGCTTACATGCTTACTTAAAAACCGTTAAGTTTTATTGAAAAACTATATACGACGTTTAACATAAACATAAACCTAATTCACGCATATCATAATTAACGTATTTCGTGAAAATCATACGCCTTATATGACTATCTTAATTAAACTGTAAGCAAGGTTTGTACTTGCCTAGATTCTGAGCTAAGCGGTTCTGATAGTATCTCGCTTGTCGTGTCCTCCTGCGTATTCCTCAAAACTAATTTTTGGGAAAAACTGCAAACACTATGAATGATCCTTGAGGAACATCGTAGCTTTAAACACTCGATTCTGATCTTCACTTGTTTAGTCCGAACCACCTTGATCCGCGTACAACTAGTACCAGACCATTCTTATCAAAATTGAATTTGGTTGAACGGACATCACCATTTCGTTCGGCACGTCAAAATGAGTCGGGATATGGTCTCGGATCATCAAACGGATGTCGATAGCCTAAGAAACGACAGCTCACCGGAATACGGCGGCGGTGCACGGCGGCGGAGGCTCCCGGAGAGTTTTTCCGAGGCGGACTTGGGTCTTCCCCCCCATAACTTGACCCTTCTGAGTCCATTGGTGCGGTCAATTTCACACCATTCGGCCTGTAACAGTATCTATTGGGACCGGCAACGTCGGTAAAATCTGGCAACTCAAATCTCACAATTTCGGTCATCAATTCTTAAAATTGGATGAGGGGTTTTCTTACCCGCTTCCTTCTGAGTGTTATGACACCAAATTCACTACGATCCAACGGTTAGATCGTCTGAACCACCTCTTCCCTCCACGAACGACGGTAGTGGCTCCGTTTTCCGGCCAAAATGTGACGACAACGGTGGCTGCTGGTCGGGATCTACTGGGCATCGGCTTCTGAGTCGATTGGTGGGGGCGGTGACATCCACGACGGCCTGGAGAGAGAGAAACGACGGCGACGGCGGCGGCGATTCCGACCACCACGGACGGCGGCGCTCGGCCAGAATCGAGCTGTGAAAATGGATGGGTTTTCTTCATCTCACTGTACTGAGTCCATAGGGACTGAAATCATCTCAATCGAAGGTCAGATGGCGGAGATATCACGACGGGAAGAAATGGGTAATTTTGAAACTTCCGCCGGTGATTGCGGCTGATTCCGGCGGAGTTGGAGGTCGTGCCGCATGTCGTTGAACTCAGCTCGTCGAGATCTTTCTATTGACACCGGCGGGGTCAAAAAACGGAGGTCGGAATCTCAACTTGAGTATTTGGCCATTGATAGTTTGTGTGAGAGAACGTGAGAGGAGAGAGAGAATGAGCGGGAATAAGAGAAAGAAAGTGCAAGAACCCTAAAAATTTCACTATATAAAGTATCTGATTAAGACAAGATTACGTGCCTGATCTTATCCTCAATTATTCCTCTAAACAGATTAAATTTATACTTATTATAGGTAATTAGTTTAGCTCACGTAAGTTAATCTACTACTTACAGTCCAATATTAATTTCTGAATAATTCAATATTGTTTTATATTCTTACTCGCTTAATATTTCAACCTGTTTCAAGTCTTAAAATTAATTTTAGACTGAACAAATTCTAAATTTTACTTTTATACATTCTATCACGGGAATGACGTTGTTTCTGACAGTGTCAACTCCCGAGCTTACATTGTACCTATCTACTATAAGTATTTATCTTGTGACTTTAACCTAACTGTCTGGCAATTAAGGATTTTTTTCTTCTTTTAAAATGTCAGTGAGTTTTTTTTTATACGCCGCTAACATCGTGTTGTGCTTGGAGATTCTTGAAATTAAGATTCTCAAACTATACTTGTACTGAAAATTATTCTGCCTTAAAATACGGCGAGAATTTATCAATCGAATTTACTTGATCGAAACATGAACTTAACATAATATTTTCTAAGAACATTCTTAGCTTAAAAATACATGAATTATATTATTTAAGGTATGAAATTTTCTCAGTCATTACAAACACATCTTCAAATTCATTGGGAACTAAGGAATTTGAAGCAATCTTTGTTCACAATTTAGTAGTAGCAATTGCTATATCGTTGATCTAAAAAAAAATTCACTATACAAATGCTAGTATTCTTTGTTTGCAGAGCAACAGATTATAAGTGGACATGAGTTCTTAAGCCTCATTTTTTTAATTATTGATTTTCTTTGGTTTGAATGTGATTCTACATATGTGGTTGCTTTGTTCATTTCTAAATCTATAGGGTTACTTGGCGCTTCTATGGTCGATGGACTAGCGAAATTGGCTTCCTGACGAGAGTATACTTATCGAGCTTCTCACGTATATCATGAAGGAAATCATGTGATGAACAAGTTTGCTGGAAGATGAATAGAAGATTTATTCTGGTGGTTTTATATTCCGACTTTCTGTTTTGATGCGCTCCATAGAGAGATATCAGATATGGGAGGATTTTCCTACTACCGTTTATGTAAATAATCGACTCTTTGAGCAGATATGTATTCTTTTTCCCCTTTAGTCTTTTTTCCTACTGATTTTTGGCCAACAGGGTTTTAACTAGTCGAGATGTGCTAGTTGCCTTTGATATCAGTTATTTCCTCTCACAGTTGCATCTCTTAGAATTGTAGAATGTAGCAATTTGACCTCAGTTCCTAATGAGATGGGCAAACTCCCAGATCTCAAGTATGTTAATTGGAAGCCTCGCACCGAAATACCAATGATCGCATTGGCTGAGGCAAAACTCTCCTGCTTCACGACATGCATGAGGGTCAGTTTATCATATACCCTGCCACTGAAAAGTTGCATTTTGACAATACTTGTGTTTTATTAATTTTGCAGGAATAACAAGGTATTTAAAAAATTGAATTACTTACATCACTCACTTACTCCCCCCCAAAATGGATTACAATTTTTTCCATCTTCCTCTTAATTAGTTGCATCACTTGTTGTCTCCAACTTTTGTAGTTTCTCAACGTTTATTTCCTTCGACAGATTAAATGATAACTTTTTAGTCTTTTCTCTTCCTTCAGAAATCCCAGTTCAGCTAGCTGGTTGTGGTGGAGTTTCTAGAACTATTTGTTGAGGATAAAACAAAGTCTGCTTGTTGCCACGTTATTAGAGTTTGGTAAGCATTTTAATTAATTTGTTGCCACGTTCCTTTTTACGTTTGCAATTATTCTCTGTTTTTTACTTTTCTTTTTCTTTTTACGTTATTGTTGAACTAAAAAAAAATGCAATGATCTCATAGGAAAGAAGAAACTAAAGCTTAAGACGTTGCAAGTAATTGGTGCTGTATATTAATTTTAGGGGCAAAAAATATTCACTGAAAAATAAAGAAAGATTTGTAAAAAAGCTCTTTTGTAGTGGTCTCATGATGATCTCATATAGAATAACCCATGATTGAATACTCAGAACAATAACCCATAGTTGTATATTTGTTCATAGTTGTTGTTAAGGCTGTTATTTGACCATGATCCTTAGAGCAGTAGTCTGATATTATTTGTGCCATAATTCATAATTTATTTAAGATGTCTTTTTTTTATTTTATTTTTTTATTTTATTTTTTTGTTTGAATGTGATTCTACCTATAGATGATTGATTTTGTTGATTTCTAAAAACATAGGGTTCCTTGGCGCTTCTATGCTCGATAGAGAAGTGAAACTAGCTTCCTAAAGAGTATTACTCATTAGGCTTTTCGCATATATCGTAAAGGCAATCACGTAGCAAACAAGTTTGCTTCTTATGCAACATCTATAAAAGATTTTTTTTTAAATGGTTTCATCTCCGCTACTATTTTTTGTAAATAACAGACTCCACGAGTAGATATGCACTCTTTTTCCCCATTAGTCTTTTTTCCCACTGGGTTTTTGGCTAAAGGGTTTTTAACGAGGCTTATCTGTAGCATTCTTTCAAAGAGAGAGTTTTGGCTTAATCCTCTGAGAGGTACTTCTGGTTATCTGTTTAATTTGTAGTTTGATTTGTTGTATTATTCTTGTTTCCGTTTCCTGGGCTACTCTTTTGTATTCTTCTATTGTTCCTCTCATATCTTTTGTACTCTATTGAAGCAATATTTTAACAAGAATGTTGAATTTGCAATTTCACTTGTCCAATGGAGGAGAAAAAAAAAGTTTGGCTCTAATGCTGCTCGAGATTCTTTCATACATTAGTGTTGAACTCAAAAAAAAAAAAAAAAATGGTCTCATAGGAAAAAAGAAACTAAAGGTTAAGACGTTGCAAGTAATTGGTGCTGTATATTATTTTTATCTTTCCTGAAAAATAAAGAAAGAATTGTAAAAAAGCTCTTTTGTTCTGGTCTCATGATGATCTCACCCATGATTATTGATACTCAGAACATTATTATTATATATTTTTTTTTATGTATATTTGTTCATAGTTGTTGGTAAGGCTGTTATTTGACCATGATCCTTAGAGCAGTAGTGATATCATTTGTGCCATAATTTATAAATTCTTAGAACTTTCTTTTGTTTCCAAGTTTATAGGGGTTTTGGTTTGAGTTGAAGACATACTTGATTGGAGTGATTAAAAAACATGGTGGTCATAAACACATCTTGAAATCCATAGGAATCAAGAAATTTGAAGCAATCTTCGTTTACAGCAACTATAGATGATTGTTTTTATTATTTTATTATTTTTTATTTTTGAATGTGATTCTCCCATAGAGTTCCTTGGCGCTTCTATGCTCGATGGACAAGTGAAATTGGCTTCCTAAAGAGTATTACTCATTAGACTTCTTGCATATATCGTAAAGGCAATCACGTAGCAAACAAGTTTGCTTCTTATGCAACATCTATTAAAGATTTTTTTTTGTTAATGGTTTCATCTCCGCTACTATTTTTTGTAAATAACCGACTCCATGAGTAGATATGCACTCTTTTTCCCCTTTAGTCTTTTTTCCCACTGGGTTTTTAGCGAAAGGGTTTTTAACGATGCTTATCTGTAGCATCCTTTCAAGGAGAGAGTTTTGACTTATCCTCTGAGAGGTACTTCCGGTTATCTGTTTAATTTGTAGTTTGGTTTGTTGAATTATTCTTGTTTCCCTTTACTGGGCTACTCTTTTGTATTCTTCTATTGTTTAATATCTCTTTTGTATTCTTCTGTTGTTCCTCTCATTATTTCTTTTCACAAGCATGTAAGCAAGGCAAACTATGATGAAAATGGACCTTCCAGCATTCACCGGAAATGTACTTTTGTTGTTCATTTACTCTGTTGTGTTTGTTGATGTATAATAGTGTAAAACACTAAACTAAGCAGTTTAGACTCTACAAGTAGAAAATTCTCTAATACCATGAGCTAAAAATTCTAAGATCTTGGCAGGAAGACCCGCAAATACTGTTGAAAAACCGTCCTTGGCAATCAGAATCTTTCATATTCGCTCCAAGATCACAGATGCTCTTTAAGTTGCTATGATAAAATGGTAACGAGAACGAAATGAGAACTAGAATGAGATAGTAAAATCTGATTTTTTTTTTTTTTTTTTTTTTTTTTTTTTTTTGGAATGGAATGGATCAACGATTATTCTAGTAAAACAACATAAATTAGTTTCTTGAATTTGAGTATTTTTACAATCATAAAAATCAGTATTTGTGTAATTCACAAAAAAGATTCTAATGCCCAGAGATGGTGGCATTACAAGATTTATGCCAAGGCCTTGGATAACCAACTAAAATCCAGTTGAGAAAGCTAATATTATCAGTTCGAGTCTCTGGTCAAAAACATACACAAAACATCTCAAGTGATCCTGTGGAAAATCCAACTAGATTGTTGGCTACATTCTTCTCCTCTTCTTGAGGCATTATAATAACAACTTTTTTAGGAGATACAGTTCCAAAATAGATAAAGATCTTCTATCTTGCCATCTTAAAATTGTACAAGAGCAGGACAAATTTTGACCAATAAATTACAATTACAACGAGCAATACAAGCCAGAAACTTTTCGTCTCTGGATGAAATCCGAACCTGATATACATAAATATACTTTTGTAGAGAATCTAGAATGTTATTTAAAGAAAAAAAATGGAAACAAAACTTGGATCCACTCTCAATGGTACATAATCCGCACTGGAGAGAAATTTCGTAATTGAGTCTTGGGGTAAAGCTGGCAACAAGACAGACAGCATCTATAGAACAGCTAGCAACATTCCGGTCTTAGGGTAAAGCTGCAGCAATCGATGCTTCTCTATTCTTATGAAAACTTTTTTCTTTTTTTTAGATTGTACACCTATATGCAAAAACTGATATAGAAAATTCAATTCACAAATAAAAATACTAGGTGCTGCTCTACCTATTCTATTTGATCAGTGAGAAGCTGGAATTAAGTTTCATAAAGAATCATACTTCTGAAAAGAATTGGTACCTTGTACCATAAAAGAATATCTACCATTTTCCATCTCTAGATTTTAGCATCTGCATTGCCTGGATGATGCGTCCGAGCCCTATAGTTGTGCGATAAGTAGTTCATTCCACGAGTCGGGAATCCCAGGTAGGCACCAATGCAAACAGTCGTTTACGCCAGGAGTTCCTCTAATGCTGTAGCGGGAGATGTGACCTTCATCCCTCAGTTCAGACAGGGCAGTGATATCTAAAATCTTTACCTTCGTACCCTTTAAAGCACCTTCAACAACCGAATCCCTCGAACCGTCTTGAACCACTTCGCTTCCACTAGACAACGGAGTTGTGCTATCACAACTACCCCCCGTGTTCCAATCACCATTAAGGAAGTGCCTTGGTGAGATAGTCCTAAAGAAGGCTTTGAGATGAGGATGCGAGGGAAGCTGTGAATCAACCCACTTGACAATACTATGTATCGTAAAATTCTTGGCATTCGCAATTTCTGCACGTTTTCTATCTTCGTTAGGCTTTCCATTTACATGCATCACCCACCGGTTTGCCTTCAGCTTCCCTCTGTTCCAATGATGTCCAGTGTTGAGAACCAATACATCGAAACGATGGAGATACTTTCTCAAGAAAGCTGGTGGACGGTCCAGATGCATGGCGATATCAGAGGCATTAAGGGGCACCAGATCCGAAAGACTAGCTGACCAATAATATAGAATGGTGGTATTGGTTTTAGGGAATCGGTAAGCCCAACCATCAGGACGAATGGCTCCACGAGCTTTGATGAGTCCATATTCCTTTCCCACATTTAGTACCCCAGGGCTATATTCCCCTCCAGTGGCCATGCACATCAAAGACTGGAACTGCTGTCGACCTAAAGAATCTCCTATAAAAGCAATTGTTTTGTTCTGCATTCTGCAATATTCAGTCACGTTTAGAAGACTGTTAAACAAAGGATTTTTTGCTTGGTATATAAGTAAAATCCAAACTCTCGTCGGTGAAAATATAGTACTGCTGTATAATATGACTATTTCTAACTAGGGAAAATTTCATTTTTGTACCATGTGTTATATTGAAATATGAGTTTAGTACTATGTATTTTTAATAATTTCATGCGGGCATCTCGGCGTGTTAAAAAATCTTTTTTTTGTACCTTGAGGCATTTTTTGTAACATGAAAGGTCATTTATACCCTTGATTTGTCCAAAATTTTTTTTTTTATAAATTTCTAAGAAAATATATTTGAAAAATAAAATTAAAAACTCAAACTTCTATTCCTTTCCCTTTCTGTTTTTTTTTTTTTTTTTCATTTTATGTTTTCAAATATTGTTAATAGAATAATATATTTATAAAGAAATGTTAGACAAATCAAGTATAAGGATATAAATGACCTTTCATATCTCAGAAAAGGCATCAAGGTATTAAAAAATATTTTTAAAAATGTCTAGGTACCCGCATAAAATTATTAAAAATATAAGGTATTAAATTCATATTTTAATATAACACAGGATACTAAAATGAAATTTTCCCTTCTAGCTAAATGAGAGTAGGAAGGCGATGCAATAATGACACAATTCCAATCACAATTCCAATCACTTGTCATTTTGCAGAATATGCTGAAACAAATTTGTCAGACTATCATGCAGCATTCTGAAATCTTCACCCTTGAACTATGGAGAGTTTCCCATTATATTAAATGAGAAAGAAATAGTAAAATAGTACATTCGGATGGAAGCTTTTCCAGATAACTGAAAAATATTATAGTGACCAAGAAAATTTCATAATTTCAATAATGAAATTCATGTATTTAAGTCAAAAATTTTTCTAGAAAATCATTATACTATGTACATTTTGTGATTGAAGGATTTATGGAATAAACATCTGCATCCCTAAATTCTGTAGCATATTTCACGTTAAGTTCACGTTTTTTCGATCAAGTAAATTTGATCGATAAATTCTCACTGTGCTTTAAAACGGAAGAATTTCCAGTACATATACAATTTGAGAATCTTAATTTTAAGAATCTCCCAACACAGTACAAACTAGCATCCAGTACCCGTATACAGGAGAAAATAGCTGTCAGTATAATTTTTTACAGTTTTAATAAGTAACTTAAGGGAATGGACAAAAGTACAAGGGGTAGGTTAGTATGTGTGATTTGATGTGATGTGATGAGAGAGGTGAATATGACTCATGATTAGTTTTTTCTCCTTTTTCTCTTCACTTGGCCGGCCATCTTCAAGGGATTTATAACCAAAAATTTTGGTTAAATGTTGAGTGTGCTAGAGGATTGATGTGATAGTAATGATTGAAAGGAAATCATGACATTTCTTCCTTCACTCTTTCTCTCACATTGGCCGGCCATCTTCAAGGGGTTTTAAGCAAAATTTTGTTTAGTTAAGTAGACTAAAGGAGGTAATAACCTAGTGGTTTATAAATAGAACCAATGTGATCTAAGCCTAACTTTTACTTTATCTCACTTCCTTCTCCATATCCAAAAAACCGGTTCTCCAAAGCTCCAACCTTCAAGTTTTCTAGACTTTTCCCTCACCAAAACAAGCCATCCCTTACCTCACACACACTCAAAAGTTCCCATAAATCTCACCACAAATCCTAGTTTAAGTTGAAGGAGAAAAGGAGGAGTCTAGACAAGCATTTCTCCAAGGGTAAAAACTCTAAAATTCTCTCTTTTTCATGTTTTAGTAAAGTTGGAAATGTAGAAATATTCTTCTCAAATATCCTTATCCTCTTCTAGTTTCAAGCCGTTGACGAATCTTAGAGGAGATCAAAGGCTTTCAAGAGAGAAAACTCTTTAAGGGTAAGATTCTTAAACTCTTCTCAATTATTTTTCTAGTCAACCTTAAGCACGAATTCATGATGTAATTTGTGGTTCATGAGGAGATAAGTGTAATAAGGGTGTGTGAGTTTTATGTTAGTTTTGTGAGTTTTGAGGTTAGTTTGATGTGGTATGTTTATGCTTGATCTAAGTTGCTTATTTTCATATTACAGGAAAAATTTTCCGGTGACTTTGACCGCGAAAATGAGGACCCTAAAGCGAGATTTTTCAATGTTTTAAAACTTGAACTTATAGCCCTGGATGTTTTGAACATTTTTGGTTACTATGACAAAACCTAATTTTAACTCTAAAACCAAGTTTGAAGCCATTTTGCAAAAAACGGACAAGCTGTCCAACACAGTTTCGAAAAAAAAAACTGGCAGCCACTGGTTCAGCCAAACGGGACTCTTAGAGGCTGCATCTTGATTTTTCACAAAAGTAACAATTTTAGATTTCGATGAGACGAAGAAATTACATGAAGAAAAGATTTTCAAAATCCGACCCTAAGAGGTACTAAAACACAGATTCCCGAAACGGCATAGTTTTTGACTAAAACTGTTTCAGGAAAAATAGCAGCTACGGTTTTCAGCCAAACGAGGCATTTAGAGGCCGAATTTCAACTTTCACCAAAAACAACAATTTTAGATCTTGACGAGAAGAGGAAGTTTCATAAAGAACAAAATTTTGAAATCTGACTCTAAGATACAGTAAAACGCAGATTTCAGAAACTGCACAGTTTTTAACGAGACAAAACTAAAACAGTATCGGTTTCAACAAAAAGTTATAAAAGAACCCGAGATAGAATTTCAGTAAAATACAATGACATTAAACCTCATTTTAATGAAAGTATTCATAAAGGAAGTTTTCAAGAAAAAAATGCTTTCTTTAAAGAACATAGTGGTTTACCGAGCGAATTATCCCGATGGGCATCTACGAGCCCAATACGATAGGTCCGTAGAATTTTGAAAATTTAATGTGGGTCCAATGCCCACATTAGTTTAAGAGACTCTGTTAGAGTATAAATTTCAACGGCATAAAAGTTAAGATGACATGTATAAGTCCTAGGCCGAATTGGGCCTTAATATCATACCAAGGGAAATTAAGGAAAATAAGGTTTTGAGTATTTATTAAATTAATCTTTATTATCCTTTAGTAAATGAAAGGAATATATGCCTTATGAAAAGGGTTAGATTTTCCTTCATAAGTTGCTAAAATAGAATAGCAAATAACAGTTAATCTCACACTCTTAATAGGTGTTCATTTTCAGAAGAAAGCAAGAGACTAGGTTGATAGGCGAAAAGGGGATCCCAGCTTTGAAAATCAAGTAAGTAGGAATCTCGCCTACAGTATAAATAGATTTTAAAGTAAACAGTACACATGAACTATATATGTTTGAGTACATTTAATGTTATGAATGTTATGCTATGTTATACTACATACACTTAAGCAGTACACCCGACTTATATGTGTTCGAGTACATGATATAGTATGCTATGCTAGGTCATATTGCATACACCTTAATAAGTCAAGAGGAACTTATAAGAGTAATCTCAGTTGAGTGCCGTACCAGCCTCCACAAGGGAGGTAACTCAAGCTCCGCAAGGGAGAAAAAAAATAATAATGTCCTCCGACTCAAGGGAGGCATTCAAGTTATAATCACGGTGTCATGGGGGACCTTGCAAACCCTCATGTCCCGATGATTGCGCGCAAGTGGTACGAGCACTCGGGCCCAAAAGAAAGATAAGATAAGATAAGATAATAAAATTCTGATAAGACATCATAATTAAGCATAATTGGCTCATGCATATTTATTCATGTGAACTTACAGTTATTTTGCAGAAGATAGTTTCTACTTGCTGAGCGAAAGCTCATTATAGAATGTTTATACTGTAGGTAAGCAACCGGCATATAATGCCTGATGGACTGCCGGCGAGTGGATGAACGATGTGGGGCTCGGGATATGGATACCACTCGCAAATATTTTCGCAATCAGCTTTATGTTATAAATAGTTTTGTTAATTATGATTCTGAAACAGATATGTTAAGGTTTGAATATTTTAATTAAGAAAGCAATTTCGTATCTTATGTTTATTATAAGACCTTTTAAAAAAAAAATGTTCCGTAAATTTTAAGAAATTTCAGTAAGTACAAGTTAAAAGTTAGTTACAGTGGCGGCCTTAAAAGATGGTCGTCACAAATATTTCCGAGATACTTAGGACGAACGAAAAAGTTGAAAGAAAAATATTTAGCTAAAAATAGATTAAACACGGAAATATGACTACCTTCTCGAGAATGAAGACCTCTTAAACTTTAGCATATTGCAATTTTCTGGCTGCAAAAAAGTACAATTGCCATGCAAAATTTAGGGGCATTAATAAGATTAATCCTTGTTTTTAATTTTTTTAATTTTTATTTTTTAACACAATTACCCTTAAATTTGTTGTCGTTTAGTAAATTACCATTTAAATTTTTTATTTTAAAAATCAACCCCTTAAACTTATAAATTTTTACAATATGCCTCATTTTATAAAATGTGCTCAAATTTTTTATTAGATTTAGAATTATTATTGCCTGTGCTCCTAAATTTCAGAGTTATCCTTATTTTACTTACTGAATTTTAAAAATTCTCACTTTACTATTCTAAACTTTCATAAACTTTCACTTTGTCAAATATCGTCAAGATTAAGGAATTGAAAGATTTGTATTATATTTAAATAGATATATGAAATTTTTCATTGAGTGTGTTGGCACTAATATAACACAATTATTGGTATATTATAATAATTTTACATGTCAAAAGGATAACTTATTAATATTAAAAATTTAAAAAGACAATTGGTTAAACCACGTAAAGTTTTAAGGGCAAATGTGCTATTTATTTATTTTTTTTTTCAGGGTGGGTCATTGGCAATGCCCAAAATTTCGAGAAACAACGCCGCTGGTGAGCGCTCAGTGAGTTCAAGTTTGAAAGTAAAACTGTAATGACTGAGAAAATTTCAGACCTTAAATAATACAATTCATGTATTTTTAAGCCAAGGATTTTCTTAGAAAATATTATGTTATATTGTGAATGGAGGAT